ATTGATGATCTCCTTGAGCGGTTAGGCGGCGCGACGTACTTCTCGAAGTTGGACTTGAAGTCAGGTTACCACCAGATTGAAATTCAGCCTCAAGAGCGGTACAAGACCGCGTTCAAGACGCGGTACGGGCATTTTGAGTGGGTTGTCATGCCCTTTGGCCTCACCAATGCCCCCGCGACTTTTCAAGCAGCGATGACGACTGAGTTTCGCGACTTGCTCGACCGCAACGCCCTCATCTACCTTGATGACATCTTGGTATATAGTAGGACGTTGGACGAGCACATCGTACACCTTCGCGTTGTTCTGAATCGTTTGCGACTAGCCAAGTACAAAGCGAATCTCGACAAATGCGAATTGGCCAAGCAAGAGCTTGAGTACTTGGGTCATTTTGTCACGCCGAAAGGCATTCGTCCCTTAGCGGACAAGATCCAAGCCATCGTGGATTGGCCGGAACCCCGTTGCACGACGAATGTACGCTCTTTCATGGGTTTGGCTGGATATTATCAGCGATTCGTCGAGTCATACTCGAAAGTGGCCGCTCCTTTGACGAGACTTCAGTCCCCGAAGGTGCCCTTCGAGTTCGACGACGCAGCCCGTGGCGCGTTCACTACGTTGAAGGCAGCGATGCAAGCCGCACCTGCCCTCCGYATATAKGACCCCACCCTACCCACCCAAGTGACTACGGACGCTTCGGGAKACGGTATTGGTGCGGTGTTGGAACRGTGTCACGAGGACGGTTGGCATCCGGTTGAGTATTTCTCCCAAAAGGTGCCTCTCGTCAACACTCTCGACGACGCTAGGAAGAAAAAGCTACTCGCTTTCGTCACCGTTCTCAAACGGTGGCGCCACTTTCTTCTCGGCCGTCGGGGTTTTAAATGGAATACGGACAACAATTCGTTGACCTTTTATAAAACGCAAGACACGGTCACTAGCACGATCGGTCGATGGATGTATTACATCGACCAGTTCGATTTTGACCCGTGCCACATTCCCGGTCCTGCCAATCGAGCTGCGGACGCCCTCTCACGACGGCCCGACTTTTGTGCCATTGTGACCACGGCATTCGACCTCGATGACGATTTGCAGCAGCATTTCGTCAAAGGCTACAAGTCCGATCCGACTTGCTCTACGCTTTACGGAGAGCTTTCATCGGATCACCCGCCGGCTAGCCACTATCGGATTTCCGATGGGTTCCTTCTCCTTCACTCGAGAGGAGAGGACTTGTTAGTAGTGCCTCAAGATCGCATCTTACGGACTCGTCTTCTGGGCGAATTCCACGACGCACGACTTTCGGCACACCTTGGCGCGAACCACACACTAGCACCTCTCCGCCAGCGTTTTCACTGGCCCGACGTCCTTGTTGACGTCACGAGGTACATTGAGTCATGTGCAGTTTGCCTGCGTAACAAGGGTCGATCTCGAGTCCCCTTCGGCGAACTGAAACTGTTCCCGATTCCTCGGGCACCACGCCTCTCCATTGCTATGGACGTGACAGGCCCGTTTCCCCGCGATTGCCACGGCCATGACGGTATTCTCACGGTCGTTGACCGTTTGAGCAAGTATGCTCGCTTCCTTCCTTGCAAGTTTCATGCTGCAGCACCTGAGCTCGAACGACTCTTGCACACCGGTTGGATTACCAACCAGGGTGTTTTGGAAGATATAGTGAGCGACCGAGATACTCGCTTCATGTCGGCCTTTTGGACTTCTCTCATGACTGAGTCCGGCACGACAATGAAGCCGAGCTCGGCTCGGCACCCGCAGACGGATGGTCAGACGGAGCGAGCGCACCAGACCGCTCAGATGATGTTGCGTACGCTCATCGGTCCCGACCAGAAAGATTGGGTTGACCGGCTTCCCGACATCGAGTTCGCCTACAACACTTCGGTGCACCCGGCGATCTGCGTCACACCATTCGAGCTACATCATGGTGGAGAGAAAGCACGGATCTTCGCTGATCTCCTTTTGCCACAGGTTGCCGACATAGACGTCCCTTGCTCTCCCGCTTCCGTCCGGAAGTACCGGGACTTGTTGATCAAAGCCCGCGCAAATATGCAAAAGGCTCAGATCCGCATGCAGCAGCAGGCTAATTGACGTCGACTTCCATGTCCCTTCCGCGAGGGAGACCTTGTTTGGGTCCTCTCCGAGGAAGTTGCGCTCGAGCAGGATGTTTCGCGCAAACTCCTTCCGAAATGGTTCGGACCATGGGAAGTCACTTCTGCCGTTGGAGACGACCCCGCAGGTCCTTCCTTCGTGATCAACATTCCACCGCACCATACAGTGCATCGGGTCTTCCACGCATTGAAGCTGGCCATCTACACGCCACCTTCAAATGACGAGTTCCCTGGACGTCGATCACATGATCCGCCTTCTATGGACGAACATCTGGAAGTTGACCGAGTCATCACGCACCGCAAGTATGGCAACAAGCCAAGGCAGTACAARGTCACATTCAAGCAATGTGCGCCTGATGACACTCGGTGGATCTCCAGTACAGAGTTGCGGAGTTCTGCACCCCTCATCTTCGCCGATTATGAGAAGCGACGCCTTGCTAAGGACGCAGCTCGTCCCGCCCGACCCACCCCGGTATCGGACAGACAACTTCGCCCTCGTAGGTAGCTCGGTCTTTTAAGAGGGGGAGTGTGTTACATCTTCGACGCACACGGGTCCTACCGGACCCGACTTAGGGCCGGAGGGACACATCAGGGCCTAAAGGCCCGACCTTGGGGTATTACA